GGACAAGGAAGAAGTCAGGTTACAGCTGTCTCATAACTTGTCTAAAGTCACACCGTCAGTAGCTGGTGGATACTGGATTTGAATGTAGGTCTATCATGTTTTGAAGATTATGTGTGTTAAGAGAAAAAGTAATTCCTTGTAAGGACAAAATACCAAACGCTGATAGTTTAAAAGGTACATTTTACATAGGCATATTATTTGCAGGGTACCAAAAAATAGGCGTAGCCTGAAATATACATGTGGATCAGGAGTTAGGCCCAGTTGATTCGATTTCAGTCAGCCACATAGGATGTCCACAGGGACATTTTGACCTACGCGAGTCCCTCATCGAAAAATGTAGACGAGGACCCTTGTTTTCCTCTCACATGTTTGATGTGAACATCAAGTGAACCCATGTATCTGAAAGTACTTTTGATATGCACACTGATTAAATGTATCATTCCTATCTCCATTATTTACATGGTACCATGTGAGGAGGATGGCTTGGAAGACAGCTCTGCACTCCCACTCGACCACTCACAACTTCTTGGATTTTGTGCCAGAAGATACTCTCAATGGCTTAGCTTGGCTCCTGTACGCATGGGGCACATTAATCACCTCAGAGGGCTTGTCGGTGGTGTGCTAAGGGGGTGGAGGTAGACGAGGCAGGCAATAAGGAAGGATATAAAAACAATAGTAAAACTGATAATGGACTGGAATTTCTAAATAAGGCCAGTGATAAATAGTTGCCCCCTGCGGTAGACCACACCCACCACATCACCTTGCTTGTTTTGCTACGTCCGTGTGAGGGTTATAATGAATGGATGCTGCAGTGGCTTGTGTCGGGCTATAAACTGCAAGGTCAGCAGCTAAAATCCATGAGCTGTACCACGGGAGAAAGGTGAGCCTTTCTCCCTGCAGAGGTCCTTGCTTGGAAACCCACAGAGAGGGTCATTCTACTCTGTTCCAGAGGGTTGAGTAGGAATCAGTTCAATGCCAATGAGCTTTCTTTGAGTTTTTGGATATGAAATCCTCAGCGTAGTTCCTGATACGGAGAAGATGCTGGAAAAAAAATGGTGGCTCTCATTTGTATTGCAAAATTATAAAGCACAGCAGCACTCTGGCTTCTCACTGTGGTGTCCTCTGAATGGCTGATAATGCATTCCTAGGTGTTAGGTTATCCCATACCTGACATCTTCCTACACATGCAAATGAACTGCTGAGACTGGGGAGCACTGTTCTGAATAGCAGAGAACCTGTTGCATACAGAACAATCACTGTCCTAAAAATGTCCTCGCTTGGTGGGTTTTCCAAAGGACTAAAAAAGCCCAGGTAATATCCATACTGCCTGGAAACAATTTGTTGCTTGAATCCCAATTGTGAAGTCCATAATAAGCCCTGCTTAAGTGAATGGCTATAAATAATTGGCTATCATTGAAGGGTGAGCTTCAGAGATTCCAGTGAGCCACGTCCCCCCAGCATCTGGGCTGTGTTGCTTAATTAACTGTGGACACCAGGGTGAGGAGGCACGGGTGCTCAAGGAAGTCTAACAAGAGTTAGACTAACAAGGTGAACCCAGTGGGGGAAGTAGCTGGGGGGAAGCAGAAAATGGGGATGTGGTCATGGGGCAGAGGGAAAACTTGAGAACTGGGGGCAATGTTGGAGAATGATTTCTCCACAAATAGAAAGAGAACCCACAATAGGAAGAGTTCAAATAAAATCAATAGTCTCTATGAATTCAACTTCACTATGAGCTAGCTGTTAGGAGACTGGATATTAGCATGAGACAAGTCCATGGATAGATATCATGTGAGAACATCATAACAGAGCTGGACAGCAAGAATATGAATGGAAGTTGAGGGATTTCCCATGGAACCCATAATAAAAGGCTAGGCTGCCCCCATGGGTCAGCATGTGGAAGAAATTAGCTCCCTTGCAGGTAAGATGCTGGCAAGCAGAAGTCCTACCGTGTGTGTAAAATGTTACTAAGCCTATCTAATCAAAGGAATTTCAAATCAATAATTTAGCCCTTGGTAAACTCCAGGATATCCTACAACTGAGAAAAGGGGCTTTTGCATAGAAAATGGCAATGTGCTACAGACTAAGTTCATCTGAGAAAAGTAGAAAGGAGAGGCTTGGACTTGTGAGCTAAATGGGACACGTTTGTGTCTTTCGTGTGTGCTGTTTTAGCCTCAGTTCCTTGCAACAAATATCTGTTCACAGATTGAGCAAATGACAGGATGATGGAGCAGTTTACCAGCACGGGGAATTTCTTAGTGGGACTCAAGTTCTGCTTCATGACAATAATCCATACAGCCATTGGTAACTCTGTCTAGCCTGGCTCTCTGATCTAATACTCTGGTTTGAAATGGAAATGGCATCGGCTTAAATCACGGGCATTTTCCCAGTGGGAAGGCTTCGAAATGGTGTTCCCATGCATTTCTCAGTTTGCAAGGGGTTGGTTAGTCAGACATCACTCTTGAATTCAAACTTGATGATTTTATCTGTTTGATGCACCTGTAGTTGAGTAGAATGAATTGTTTGACAAGGACAAGAGGCACCATGTGCGATGAGTTCTTTAATTTCTCAACTAGATGTTTTAGTATGATACGAACACAGTTTATGAAGTGTTGGTGGGAAAGGGACTCCAGCGGAATTTGATATTATATATATCAAATTATATATTATATATATATATAAAATAATCAATATTATTTGCAATTTTGCAGAGATCTTAACAGGGCAGAGTTTATACCTGTGAGAAAGTTACTTGCCCTTTACTCTGCAACTATTTGATGAGATTATTTCATGGGCAGGTGTGTGTGCTAGTCAGTTGTGGTTAGGGCATTTGATGGAGCTGGTGATAAAGTACCAAATTATCAGTATTTTCCACTGTTCTAAGTTACACTTTGGGGACAGTCAAGAAGGAGCAATGTCAGGCTAATTGCACTAATAATAATGGGGCCCAGGCGGTTAGCTTTGATCTTGGGAGCCATCTGCAATTCAGACCACTTTGATGTTTCACACAATGGAAGCATAAATATTTTCTATGTATTCCATGATTGGACTTTCAGAAATCTAATTAAGATGAAGGTCAATTAAGAGAAAATGAAATCTTGACGGCAGAAGGCAGGGAAGAGGTGGAAGATGATTGCCTGGCTGTGTGTACATAAAAGAAGCTAACTAACCTAATTATCAACTTATATCAACACCCAGAGAAATTGCCTTTCATGTGAAAAGACAGGTCCTAGAGCATTTTGTAACATTGAGATTATGAATGTGTCTTTGAAACACACCCAGTACTGGAAAAGAATAGTAGGACTGGCATTTCAAAACTCAATTACTGAAAAAACATTGTAGATAGCTAGGGATAAAAGCACTTCAGAGTTCATCAAATGCTGTCACTGCTTCTTGGAAATGAGAGCCATAAATGTCGCTGGCAGTTGTATCTATCAGAGGCGCCTGGGTTTGGTATAAAGGAGGGTTTGCTTCCTCTTTCAGATCAGGCTGTGTGAAGCATGCAGTGCAGCCTCATCTGGGGTCCGAAGTAAGACTTGTTGGCTCCTGAAACCTCAGGCACCACACGGGTGAGGTAGGACTGATGGTATTTATCTCACTGGCTTCCTGTGAGAGAGAAATCACCAGTCTACACCTTCCTCCCAAAGCCCCCATGGGCTTTTGAATCCGAGGGATCTGAGTCTAAATCTCTTCCCCTACTTGATTTCTGTGGAACTAGGTTAAAGCAATTTGATCTCATCGGGCTGCAGTTTCTTCATCTCCCAAACGGGGACAGTGATCTGAGTATCTGCCTGCCAGGGTTATTGAACGGATTGCGGTTTGTATAGAATCACAACCCACAGGGCAAAAGATGACAGAAAGTAACTAGCTCCTCAAGCACTGACGCACACAGATACTTTCACATATGAGTTAAGGTGTCTTGTGAATGCGTGTTTGCGTGTTATGTGTGTACGCACATTATGTCCACATATGTGGGAATGCATGTGTGCCCACAAGTGCGTGTATGCGAGTGTATATGGGCCCATGGAAGATGCATGGATGCATAGATGTGTATGTGTTATGTGTTTAAAAAGAATTCCAGTCTTGGAAACTCACGGGGACAATCCCACCTCTGTGAAATGGCCCTGGGCTCGCTGACAGTGAGTTTGGCGTGGTGTGGTGGGTGTGTGCCCGGGGGTGATGTGGGCATACCTAGAAGAAAAGAACTGCTAGGGATTTCATTGGTCTACGTTACTAGCCACAATTGTGTGGTATGGGAACTTGATTTTGAATGATGTGGAAGGTCACTTCTAACTGAGCAGAGTAATGAGTTCTCTCCGTTCCTTTTGCTGGGTGACACACATCCCGTGTATTCCTCCCCCCCACCCCCCAACTTTTGAACTACATCTGAAGAGTCTTTCATCTGAGAAGTTCAAGGTGGGCCCACTTACCTATGCATCTTCGTGAAATCTGACTTTCTAATACACAGACTTTGGGACAAATAGATAACCAGAAGAAACTTATCAGCCCTCCCTGCCAGCCATCCGGGACACGGGGTATCTGACCACAGTGGATTGCATCTATTCCCAAGGTCAATTAGTCAAGGACAAACTATGATCTTGGGTTATTCCCTTCTGACAAACAATGCATTCAGATGAAATTTCTAATTAGACCAGATTTGAATTGTTCCTCTTTCCAAAGTAGTATGACCTTGATCTCCATGAATATCAGACTAGTGATTGCTCGTGCGGTCTGCCCCTGTTCTCCTAATTCTGTAGTCTGAGGAAAAGACAGAGGGGGTTGCTGAATGTATTATGGATGATTTATAGAGTTGGTCGAATTGATTGATTAAATTCAAAGGCCCGACCCCCTCCTTGTGCATGTCCAACGAATGAAGGTGGGTGCCCGGCCAGGAGAGCACCTGCCTGAACAGCAGTGTTACGTCTCAAGTGGGATCTCTAGAATTCACTGGTGGCAAAGGTGGGCCCTGGGCACTACCCCATGCTGGCTTCTCCCATACTCACAGTTCACAGTGACCTTGACTTGTTTGACATCCGCCGAGGAGACCTCATTGGCAGCTTTGCATTCGTATTTGCCTGATTGCTCCCTGGTGATGCCAAGAATCTCCAGGTACTCCTCTTCTCCTTCGAATTCTCTTCCTGAAAAGCAGGAACAAACGTTTTCAGAAAATGCTGTTTTCTAAAGTTTCAAATATGCAGCAGATCACCTCTTTTTACATGTAAGTACTCAATCCAGGTGGCATTCCGATAGTTTGGCAATGTGCTTTGCCTGAGGTCAGGTTCCACCGAAGAACACCACAAGGAAAAAAAAAAATGTGTAAGAATGACTAAGTAGGAAGTGAGCTTTAGTGGGAAACAAACAAATCATTGAACAAACAAACAGGCACAGTTGAATAGGGGAAATGGGACCTGGAAGTCGTGTCAAGAAAAGTCCCACACAGGGCAACTCTGGCTCATGTTTTAGAGGGCTGTGTGGGCAGAACACACCTCATTTCTAAACCGTCCTGATCAAGAAGCAAGAAGCCTGATTCTTTCTATGTCCACAACCATTGGCTAAGGGTTTGAAGCAAGGTGGCAGGAGTGGGGGGGTGTACCCAGTTGTAGGGGCTGTGAGGGGATATTAGTGAAGTGCTGACAGCAGGAGTTACATCAAGCTGTAAAATAACCTTCAACCAAAGTGAAGAAGTGATTTTTCTCTTCCAGGTTATGTTCCAAACTCTTTCTTGAAAGTGTGGTTTTCATCTTCAATATGTAATTATGTCATCATTGAGATTCAGGTGACAGACCAGATCCAGGAGGATGTGCTCCTTGTGATGGAGTTTGTGAAGGTCTGAATCAACTGAGATTGGGACAGGAAATTACGAAATACTGGCTGACTCAGTTGGGATCAAGACCTTGGAGGATCCTTTTAGGAAAGACCTACAAAGTTGAGTGTGTCCATTTGTACATTTTAGTAAAGAAATCTCCAGCTAAGCAAAGTCGACTGAAATCTCCCTCCTATGGAATTCCCTGAGCAAGAGCGAGAGCAATGGAAGACAGTGTGGAAGGGTGAAAACAGGGAGAAGAAATGGTGAAGAGGGTTGAGGAAGGGAAGGACTTCACTAAAAAGGCCTATGGACTTGAACCCTAGCTAAATTGAAATCCGGTGCCTTCTCTCCCTCCCCCATTCCAAAGCTCCACGGATGCTTGGGTCAGAATAGAACAGTTGAGAAGTGTTTTAAAGAACCCAGTCCTGTCACCCTGATGGAATCTTGCTCCTGGTCATCCCACTCTAAATGGGACCAATTAATAGCTCTGCTCATATGCCACAAGCTGCTTTCCTTTTCTGGAAATCCCCTGGTGGCCAGATCAACCTAACAGACAGCTTGAAGATAATTCCACTGTCTGAATATTCAGCTAAGTCTGTTAACCAGCTTCCCAAGAGAACACAGGGCCTCGTTGATAACATTCTAAAATCCGACTGTCAGGAACAGTTCAAGGCTCGGGTCTACTGCCAGTTGTCAATATCACGAGTTTTGAGGAGACTTTTCAATCCCAACAACACAAGGACATTAAATATTTTAGATGATTTGTTTCTGAAGTCCTCTACATTGTCTAGAACATAGTCCCAGGAAATGTTTTAGAATTTAGTCTATTTGTATATAACTGGATAGATTTATAAAACATTCATTATTATTCCTGTTTGTGTTTTTTCTTTACTCATCCCCACATTCAGGCAAGGAGCCTACTTTTTTTTAAAATTAAAAGATCAATTTATTGGGGACTCTTATAACTCTTGCCACAATCCATCCATCGCTTGCATCAAGAGAATCTGTCCATATGTTGCCTTCATTCTTTCCTAGATATTGACTTTCCACTGAACCCTTGGTATCAGCTTCTCTTATTTCCCCCCCATCCCCCCACCACCCTCACAACCCCTTGATAGATGATAAGTTCTTATTATTTTCATATCTCACACCGACTGCTCTCTCCCTTCCCCCTTGTTCTCCCCCCTGGAGAGGGGTGTATAGTTATGTGTCAACCATTACAATCGGTTCCCCCCTTTATTCTTTCCTCTCTCCCTCTTCCCCCTACCCTTCTGGTATCGCTATTCCCACTCCTGTTCCTGGATTCTGCATGTCATGAGCTCCCATCTCTTATCTATACCTGTGCACATGTTCCGGTCTAGTTTGAATTGAGAAGCAGCACTGGGTCATAGTAGTGGGGGGTGAGGAAGCATCAAGGAACCAAAGTAATATAGTGTGTTTCATCGATGCTTTACTGCACCCTGGTGACTTATCCCCTCCCTGTGACCCCTCTGTGGGGAGATTGTTCCATTGTCTACAGATGGGCTTTGGATCTCTGCTCCAAACTCCCTTGTTCTCAACAGTATGTTTTTGTTTGTTTGTTTGTTATGCATCTTCTGATGCCTATTAACCTGATCCTGATGACGCCTCATGATCACACCAGTGTGTGCTTCTTCCACGTGGGCTTGTTGCTTCTCTGCTGAATGGCAGCTTGTGTAATTTCAAGCCTTTAGGACCCCAGATGCTATATATCTTTTAATAGCCGGGCACCATCTGCCTTCTTCACCACATTTGCTTATGCACCCATTTTGTCTTCAGTGATTGGGTTGGGAGGGTGCACATCTCAGACTGCCAATTTGTTAGAACAAAGTGTTCTTGTATTGAAGGAAGGTATGAGCAGAGGCCCGAAGTCCATCCACTACCTCAGTGTATTGCCATGTAAATATATGTACATAGGCCAATACCTCTATTTTTGTGAATTAATGTATTTACATATGTACACCTCTATGTTTATACCTCTATCCAATCCTTTGTTTCCTAGGTCCTTCCTCTGTTTCCTTTTTTCTTCCTCCTACCCCACTGTTACTTTCCCCTTATTTCTGCCTCTTGGTACCTCCTCTTAGCTAGTTTTCTGTTGCTCCAACACCCCCCCCCATCCCTATCTGCTCCTTGTTGTTGACTCTGATACCCTAGTTGTTCCCCTGTCTATGGCACTGCCTACTCACCACCCCTTCCCCCACCACCCTCACCCCCCAGGTCTCCCCGGGACTGTTGGTCCCACTGCTTTCAAGGAGCCTACTATTATAGAAAGTTTTAATATAGGCTTTACAATGGTTGGGGCATGGGCATATATGTGGCAAGACTTTGCCCAATGGATGTTACATGACTCATGATGGTATTACCTGGACACACAAGAACATAGTAAACATGCAGACGTTTCACCTAAACACCACATCGAAGAAGAAATACAACACTTTAAACAAGGACAGAAAATAATCTAGGCAGTCCCTGGGTAATGTATGACACCTGACTTATATACAACATGCCGTTATGAACGAATCCCCTATTGATTCTGATTCAGGAACAAATCCAAATTAAAGATAGATTTAAGAATGGAATAGCTCACAATCCTGGGGATGTCCGTGTATAATATGGTATTCACACAATGTCCAAACCACATAAGCTCCTATGTTCTGGAAGGCATCACAGATGTCAAAAGAAGCATGACTGTATTCAGATACCAGGCTAAACAAAGTCCTCTTTCTTGGTGTGTGCACCTTTCAAACTCTTGCACACAACTAGCACACCTACGCTTGGTCAGCTTACTTAAGTTGCATAGATTAGTTCTTTTACTATTTCTTCATAAGTTGGGATGAGAAGCCTAGAGTAAAGAATAAATCACTCTTTACCATGCTCCCCAAGGAGGATGCAAATAAGCTATGAATAGCTTAAAGTACACATGTGCCACTTCCCAAGGGAACTAATCCCCTGATGAATCTCATTCAGGAACAAATCCAAATTAAAGATAGATTTAAGAATGGAACTAGCTCTATTCTAAAGTGAAACTTGTCGATTTGACATGCAAAATGCCTATTGACCTTGACTTCCCGGGTCAATCGGGCCTTGGATGCAAACAGCCATTTAAAAGAACTTTCCAAGGAGCTTCCTAGTTAACAACCTTTAACTACCATTTAGGAAAGTGTACACACAAAGTAACAAAACCCCAGCTGTCCTGGAGTCTACTCTGACTCATGATGACTTCATATGAGTCACAGTAGATCTGTGTTGCAGAGAGACTTCATGGCAAATTTTTTTTTTTTTCAGATGTGGATCCTTAGGGTTTTCTTGATAGCCACCTTTGGTTTGGATGGGCTCAGACTTCCAAATTTTAGTTAGTAGCTGAGTGTGCTAGCCATTGGCACCACCCTGAGGCTCCAGGAAAACAGCACACACAGTCACAAAGACCCACAGTATTTGCTCAAGGAACAGAGCAGGCTTGTTCTTGATCATGCCCCAGCACATGACCCCCAGTCCTTTATATGGAGTTATAGATACTTTCTTTTTCATTGAGATAAAGGAAATCAAACTTGGAGACATTTTCTAAATTTGAGTGTTTCATGACATTAAAACTGTGAAATTCTGAGGATTCTGATACATTATGAACCAGATAAGCCACCCCCCACCACGACATACCATTGTTTTAAGACAAATCTTGTAAGAACAGTATCTCAGTTGAACATTCTTTCATGAAAGGGCAGATGTTTCTGGAAACGTGGTTAACATTCTTTTATACTCACTTAAATTTTAGGTTTGCATTTAAGTTGTTGAAGAAACATTCCCTAACATTACATAAACATTAACACAGATACAGCTTAATGGCTCATTCTTCAGATTTTTGTGTACGTGTGTCGGGGTGTTTATATATGTCTGTGGTTGGCAAGCAGAGTGAGGAGATTCAACCAAAGTACACTATGAACTTCTGCCTGTAAAAAGGGCTGAGAATCAATGATGCTATTTGAAGTCTCTTATGCTAACTTCAAATGCTCTAGCAAGTTTCTGTTCTTACAGCACGTTTCTTGTTGCTTTCCCCTCACCCCAAAGGACAGACTCATCTGTTCTTATTTGGTTTCCTGTCCTACATTCGTTCCTCGCACACATGCTCTTTTTAAATGAGAGGAGGGTACACAGAAATCTAGAAAAGAGGCCTACAATAGGATTCTGCTTATACTAGTCATGGCTCTTCCCGGATCTTTTTGAAGTTTTGGTTTCTCAGTTGCACATCCACCTGAAAGAGATCCTTTGTGGTTGGGTGTGTTGCTATCCAAAGGCTGAAACTGCTTCTTATTCACCCCC